CTCAGCCAGTGAGTGGGAACCGGTCTGTATGTGGGATCCGAACCCTCGGCGGGAGCGCCAATGCGCTCCCAAGCGGCGCACTGTAGCAGTGCACCACCGGGCCGGCCCACTATAAATATACTTTTGATCCTCATTTAAATATCTAATATCATAAAATCAAAACATTTGTAGTATATTGAAAAAAGAAAGTTTGTGAGATATGGAAACTACTGTGGGATTTACATCTATCTGAGTGGCCAGCAATTATTATAAATGACTTGTAATTTTATCTTATTACTGTGGCACTTTACAGTTTGTCTGGTAATTCTCTTAATTAGATGATTTGATCTAATTACCTAATTACCTAAAGCTTTAGAAATAAAGAACTGAAACTTCTTTTTTCAATTACCACGTTTTGTTTTTAGCATTAAGGGTTAGTAGATCATAATACCAAGGTCAATGGTTAAGCAAGAGTGACATGTTCACAGAGCTATTACTTAATCTGGGTGAGGGAGGAAAAGAACATCAATGTCTAGGTAATTAGGCATAGAAATGAAAAAGTCATTTATAGTTTACTTCAGTAGAACCATTCTCTTATTGCTTATCTTTAGCCTTTTGCAAAATGAGGTTGATTGCAAATGAATAACATGGAGAGCAGGACTTCATGAGGGGTAGTCTTTCTCCATCTGAGTTTCTTCTTTTTGTATACAGATCTTAAAACATTTTTGTCACGAAGTTGGTTACAATCAGGTTATTTTTTGTTTACGTAGTTAGTGACCAAATCTTTCAAGAGGAAAAATTGGTAAGACCTCTTAGGTATCTTTTTTTAATGTATTGAATACTTGAAACCTTTTCTTTTGGGAAAAGAACTCCTTTCTATCTAAGATATAAGAAAATGTTAAAAACAATCCAGAAGAATGGTATGCTCAGTTCTGTGTGTAACATTCTCAAGCAGGCACACTTGCAAGGTGTAGCTGTGTCAGGTGTATGACAGAGATCTAGTAGCGACAGGCTGACTTAGGTTGTCTGTCTGCTTGACTCCAGTTTTTTAATTCTTTGAATCAAATGTGTATTAACTTTATCATTACATAAACTATTTCTTACTCTTCATTTCCAGCTCTCGTGCTCATTCCCCCATGATAGCTGTAGGAAGTGATGACAGTAGTCCAAGTGCGATGGCCAAGGTTCAGATTTTCGAATATAATGAGAACACCAGGTCAGTACTGCTTCTTTATTCATTAACTGAATTGTGCATCATTCATTACATGTTTACTGATTTCCTGTGATATGCCAGGTTCTGTGCTAGACTCTGATAATTTAGGGCTGAATGATAAAGAGGAACAGATAATTGATATCCCAGAGTCAATTTGCAGGGAAAACAAAAAATAATAGTAAAAAGGTTGATGAATTTTATGATCTAGGAGAATCAGTGTTGAAGAGTTTATACCTAGGAGGACCTCATCTAGTTTGGGGGCCAAGGAGGTTCACCTAGAAGAAGATCTATACGATAAGAAGTTGGCAAGA